ATTCCTCGTCGCCCTCCTCCCTCATCTCTAGACGGGCACTGACCGGCCAGTTCCCGATCGCCAAAATTGATCGGACCGACCTCGAGTGCATCAGGTGGCTGGGAGTGCCCAGTCTTGGAAGTCCAACCGCGAGCTCCATGCAGGTTCGCCTTTGAGTTTGGCTTGAACTGAAAGACGCGATGTCGGTGTCACCATGCCAGGTGTTGCTTCCGAGCCCCCACTTGGCCATGAGGCACCACTTTGCCCTACAGTGCTCCCATTTCGCAGATACCCAGATGCCTGTGCCGACACTTCGAGCACTGCCCGCAACGCCGTTACATGTGATACCTTTCGTCTTTACAATCCGTAAGGGCTTCGCCCCCTGCCGCCGGCCCCCTCCCTCGGAGAATGGGCCATGGAAGAGCTAAGTCATGAGGTCTTGGCGCTGTCGTGAAGCAGTATCGAAACTTCACAAGAGGGGTTACCACACCTGGCGATTGGTAAGACGTGTATGGTTTACGGGCTTGGTTGCCACACCTTGCGATTAAACGGCCGAGGGAGTTCTCGCAGTTTGGGTTACCACGCCTTGCGATGGATGTGCGTGAAGGGTGGCACCGAATTTCAGAAATGTGGCAAATCCCTTGTGTTTTTGGACCCTGGCCCCGCGGATCTGCGTAAGGGGTAGCGCCGAATTTCAGAAATTTGGCGAATCCCCTGTGTTTTTGGACCCTGACCCCGCGGATCTGCGTGAGGGGTGGCACCGAATTTCAGAAATGTGGCAAATCCCATGTGTTTTTGGACCCTGACCCCGCGGATCTGCGTGAGGGGTGGCACCAAATTTCAGAAATGTGGCAAATCCCATGTGTTTTTGGACCCTGACCCCGCGGATCTGCGTGAGGGGTGTTTCCAAATCCCTTGTGTTTTTGGACCCTGACCCCGCGGATCTGCGTGAGGGGTGGCACCGAATTTCAGAAATGTGGCAAATCCCCTGTGTTTTTGGACCCTGACCCCGCGGATCTGCGTGAGGGGTGGCACCGAATTTCAGAAATGTGGCAAATCCCTTGTGTTTTTGGACCCTGACCCCGCGGATCTGCGTGAGGGGTGGCACCGAATTTCAGAAATGTGGCAAATCCCCTGTGTTTTTGGACCCTGACCCCGCGGATCTGCGTGAGGGGTGTCGATTTCGAGCTCCCCCAGCAATTCAGACAACGCGCCCAGGAGACGCTAAAAATCCCGTTTTGGCCTCCCCCCCCCTCGCGCGGTCAATCAACTAGTTACAGTAACCAGCAAGAAGTCAACTAGTTACAGTAACCAGCAAGAAGCAGAACTGTAACACTGGAAACTACAACCTACAACTGGTACAGGAAACTGCGAATCACGCGCCTCGCAGCCTGGTGGCCCCACAAGGGGGCTGGCGGATTTGTGGAGGAGCTCTCATGGTGCTCATTAGGGCCGTCTTGTGGCTATCTAGGGCTCCTGTGGGGCAGTCTTGGGGCTCCCTTGGGGTCCTCTTGGGCCGCCTTGGAGCTCTTTTGAGCCGTCGGGGGGCTCTTGGGCCGTCTTGGGGCCTTCTTGGCCGTCTAGGAGGTGTCTTGAGGTCGTCGCGGGTCTTGATCACAGTGCGATCAACGGCCTGCACCATGCATGCTAGGGGCCAGGCGCACGTTGCGCCCTGGAGCCGAAGTGCTTCAATGTCTTCCTGGTTACCTACTGAGGTTCCCTTCTAATTGTGCAGCGGCGAAAAGCGGGCCACCGCCACCGCCACTTGCCCCACCACCCAGTCAACCCCCCATGGCCACCATCTCTTCTATCATTCTTAGCGCCACAATAACCGCTACTACTACCGCACCGCCCATCATCATCACCATCCACCATCACTCTCCACCGCCAACCACTATGCATCAAGCACTTTTACCAATCACCAAGTAAGTATCACTCGCCGACAACCGCCACTGCCGCCACTGACATTTGCACGCGGGGCCTGCTTGTTCGGGTGTGCCCCCGTCAGCCTGCCTTCGTGTTTCTAGATCTTTATGACGTGACCCTTCTGCGAGGCTCCCTGCTCATCGAAGACGCCTACGGCGAGTCACCGCCGCCCGGTGCCCTTTAGGATACGCCTATGTGGCCACACGTTTGGGCAAAGTTTGGCCACGCTATTGGACCATGCGTTCCCCAGCCGTTTCGGAAGCCCTTCGGGGAACACGTGGGGGAGGCAGAGGAGGATGAGGAGAGGAAGGAAACCAGAGGATGAGGAGAAGGGTTTACATACACTTTGAAAGCTTTTGGGTCATTCTTGGGGCCTCCTGGAAGCTTCCTGGAACCCTCTTGGAGGCCTCTTGGGGGCCTCCCTGGTCTTGGGGGCCTTTGGGGTCTTCTTGAGGGCCTTTTTGGCCGTCTTGCGACGTTCCTGGCCCGTCTGACGCCGTCGGAAGGCGTCTTAGAAGCCTCTCTGTGCCGTCTTGGGGCCTTCCAGGGGCGCTTCAGGGTCGTCTTGAAGGCCATCTTGGGCGTCTTGGAGGCTTCTATGGCCGTCTTGGGGCCCTTTGGGGGCCGTCACTTGGGCTGTGCCGATCTTGGGGCAATCTTGAGGACCTCGTGGGCCGTCTTGGGCCGTCGGAAGGCCGTTATGAAGCAAATGCCGAAGGCCTTCCTGGAGGACCTCTTGGAGGTCTCTTGGGTCGTTTTAGGGGCCTCTTGAGCGCTTCTTGGGCCGTCTTGGGCTCTCTTGGACCATCTTGGTGGTCTTAGAGGCATCTTTGGATTGTCTTGGAGGCCATCTTGGGACTCTCTTGGGCTCTCTGAGGGCCATCTTGCCCGTCTTGGAGGCATCTTGGAGGCCATCTTGGGCCATCTCAGCCGTGTCGGAGGCGATTTGACCAACGAGGGGTGGATTTTCGCGGGCTTCCCGGGTGACCAGCGGGCTGGGCCGAAGCCCCACGGGAAGTTCCTCAGAAATGAACCAAAGGCTTGCCAGACATGCGGCATGCTGTGCGCAGGACCACAGGGGCGGCGGACCACAGGGGGTGGCGGATCCAATGGCCGTCGGCCCATTCCGCCACCGTGCCTGGGTTGCAGGTCAGAGGCCTCTTGGATGCCTGGGGGGCCTCTCGAGAGCCTCTTGGAGGCGGTTTTGGGGTATTTCTGGGGCCTCTCGGGGACCTCTTGGGGGCCTCTTGGAGTCCGATTTGGGCCTCTTGGGGGCCTCCTGAAGCTTCTGGGGGGCTTCTCGGGGGCCTGCCGGCGGTCTCGGGGGTCGCCTTAGCTTTCGAAATGTTGGTTCGTATCTTCATCTGGGGCCTCTGTTGGGCCCCTCTTGGGTGGGGCCCGCTTGGGCCCCTCTTGGGGCCTTCCTGAGCCGTCCTGGGGGCCTCTTGGGCCGTCTTGGGGCGATCTTGGAGGCCTTTCGGGCCGTCGTGGAGCGCCGGAAACCCGAAAAGGCGAGAACGCTAAACTCCAAGACCTCATGTAAGAACAACGAATTTTGCCTCTGGGGCGCTATTGTGAGGCCTCTTGGAGCCTTCGTGGAACGTTTTGGGAGCCTCTTGGGCCATCTAGAGGCCATTTTGGTCGTCTTGAAGCAATGTATTGGCGACTCGGGCCCCCTTTGGTCCGTCTTAGGGGCCTCTTGGGGCCCTCTTGGCCCGTTTTAGGGCAGTCCTGACTCAGAAAAAGTAACGCGGCAACGCGCGGGGACACTCGGAAGGCTCCAGGATGCACAACGGATGCCCCTAGGAAATCCTGAAATATTCATTTGGTCATTCAGGACAGAGGGCGGAGAGATACAGGGATCTGAGGAGAGGCACGGTGGCGGATATGTCGTGTTGCAGATATTTTGGCCGCCGGCTCCCTGAGATACTGGGCTGCGTCAGACATTCCTTGTATGTAGGCTGTGGGTGGGGCAGGTCTTGGGAGGCGTTCGGGAAAGAGAGAGAGCGCTCGTTCCAGCGTCGACCCATCGATCCCTGGTCGAGGTACGTAGTCCGACGCGCACCCTGGCTGCCAAGCCGCTCCAAGCCATGCCAAGCAGTATCTGGCCACCGACTTAGCTGGCCAGCGGCGCGATTTCACGATCAGGTTTGGGATGGTGTCCTGGTCGTCCTGGTCGGCCTTGGTCGACGGGGGATGGGGGCAGCGCGGCCAAGGACCTGACGCACGAGCGCCTGTCCGAGGGCGCCGAGCCCGTCGACAAGCGGCTGGAGGAGAAGATCCGCCGCAATTTCCGCCAGTTCCTCCTGAAGTTCACGCCCGAGGCCGGGGGCTCCTGGTGGCCGTCGCAGAAGGGAATCGGCTCTTGCCTCTTCCCTTCCACGGGAAATACTGATAAGACGGAAAGGGGCCCGTCTCGTGCCGTTCCGTTCTGCAGCGCGTTTGCGGCGGGGTGGCCGAGGAAATGAAGCAGGGCTGAAGGGTGTGATGCAGTGGGCCCTTCGAGGAGGAGGAGGAGGAGGAGGAGGAGGAGGAGGAGGAGGAGGAGGAGGAGGAGTACGAGGAGTACGAGGAGAATGATGAGGAGAAGGGCGAGACGCGCCTCCACTTCACCTCTTCTTCGTCCTCCTCCAACTGCTCTAAGAGGCCAGGCCAGTGTTGGATATCCTTGGGTCGTGACATTGTGCACGTGCACAAGTGAACGCACAGCCACACATGTTCACGCACACACGCAACGACAGAAAGGCACGCACGCAGACATATACGCGCACTCGCACGCACAACACACAGCAGACACTTGCACAAGCATCCTGGGTCGTGACACTATGCAAGTGCACAAGCGAAAGCACAGCCACGAAGATCCACGCACACACACGCACACATGCAATGGCAGAACGGCGCGCACGCAGGCACATACATATATACTCTCGCGCACAGCACGCATCAGGCAAATGCACGAGCACATGTGCACACCCACGCACATGATACATGCACTCGCACACAGATAACGAACAATAACCCCGACACGCTCACACAAACATCCGCGAAGGCATGCAACAACACACTTTCATAAAACAGGGCACGCTCGTCACGCCCGCGTGCTGCGAGATATCCTGGCAAAAGTCGAGCGCCGGCCACGGGCCTGCAATCACATATGCGCACGAGGGCACAAACTGGCGACAACCGCACACGCACACACACACACGCGCACAACCTCGCAAACGTACACATTTGCAAACATATGTACAGATGCACACGCACACGAACGCAGAAACTTTTCAAGTAAATGAGAGGCAGAGGTTCCTGCACCAGCGGTCCGGCTAAACGGGGCTACCGAAGAGCGAATTGCCCAGCGTGCAAGAGGAGAGACAGAGGCAGACAGGGCGGCCGCGGAGGCGGGTGGAGGAGGGGGGCATTCAGAGGCGGAAGACTTCCATCCTGACTGCGCTGGCGCGGCCAGCTTCGGCAGCGGGGACCGTGGCAGCGGCTGGGCCGCGGCGTCCGTGCATCCACGTGCGCTGACGAGGCCCAGTGCGCGGAACGCAAGGGTACGCGCAGTGGGGCCGTCCAGGTGTGGGCCGACCAGGTGCTGCAAGTAAGGGAAAGCACAGCGGGTCCGCCCAGGTGGGACGACAGGGTACGGCAAGTGACGAGAAACAATCTAGGTTTCAGACTGCCGCCAGCAAAATACTGTGCCCGCTGGGGAAGTGCGAGCGCTGCACGAAGCGCCCCAGCAGACGGGGCGTCGGCGCCAGGCGGGCCAGCGCCAACGCAGAGGCTGCCCGGTGGGCGGCAGCTGCTGTGGCCATGCTGCGGCCATCCGCGCCGCTCGCAGCGCCAGAGACCAAACTGTGGCCAGGGCCCGAGCGGGGCACGGAACAAAACTGCTGTCCAGGGCCGAAGGAGGCAACGCACAGTTTGGGTGGACCGTGCGTGGCGAGCTTGGGCGTCTGGGTGGACAGTACATGGCCGGTCTATGAGCACCTAGTCGGTGCAGTAACCTGGCGGCGGAAGCCGCTGAATACCACGCGCTGTCTGGGTGGACAGCACATGGCAACTCTATGGGCACCTAATCGGTGCAGTAACATGTGTGAGCAGAGAGGGGCCCCGGGGCGTAGGGGAGGGGGCACGGGGGCCGCGCTCCACCCGGGGAGGGCAGCGCGCGGCCGCGGGGCACCAAGCGCCACGGGGTGGGGCGAAGCGGGCTGGGCCTCACGTCGGCGTGGGCAGGTGTGATAGGGGCCGCGCGCCGTCCGCGGAGGGCAGCGTTCGGCCGCGAGGCCAAACGCAATGCCTGAGAAGGGAGGCAGGTGCCGAGCCAGGGTGCCCGCCGCAAGGTCGAGTCCCGCGTGGGTGACCCAGGTCGTCTGGCAGGGCAGCGCGAGGAAGCCTGGTGCCCGGCGCCCAGGCGCGGGTGTCGCCTGGCGTGGCCGTGGTGCCAAGAGCCCTAGAGGCCGGGTAGGCCCGACGGGTCGGGGTGGCGCGGCCTCGATTGGTCGTTGTTGGGCCAGGTGCGGTCGGCTTGTCTTTTGCCTGGCCCGTGCTGGTCGTTGTTTTCCCTTTGCCCCGTCCCTTGTCCCGCTGTTGCTCGTTGCGCTGAAGTTGGCGTTCCTAAATTGCCCCCCAGTCCATCAGAGCTCCCATCGACCTGCAGACCTGCGGACCTGCAGAAACACAACGTTCACAATCTTTCCTTAGAAGCGCGGCTGAATCCAAATCACGGGCGCGTGTTGACCGGACAGGACACGTTTACCATGTAATAGCTCTCTTGTGCGGCGGCGCGACAGTCAGAACACCAGGACGCCCACCGAACGCGCACATTTTTTGCGTCGGCGGCTGGGCAGAGTGACTGCGGTGGCGGAAGGGCAAATGCTGGACGATGCGCGGCGGAGGGGAGGAGGCGCCCGGCGACGGCGGGGGGGGGAGGGAGAGACCGGGCCCGCCCACAGCGGGGCCAAGCGGCGGCAGGGGGCGGCGCCGGGGGGGGGCCCAGCGGCAGCACGGCGGCAGCTGGGGGTAGGCAAGCCAGGTAGCCGACGGAGGTGCCTGGGGGAAGCAGCGCCCAGAGTGGGCGAGCGACGAGGTGGAACGCGAAAGGCGCTCCGCGGATGCCGAGGTCAGAGGTGACCTGCGAGGCAACCTGGGAGCGGCGGGTGCGGGGCCACCTCGAGGTGGGGGGTCGGCATGGAGGTGCGGAGCGCGATGCGGAGCCCCAGGGCGCGCACACACACACACACACACACACACACACACA